GCCTTTCTCTTGGCTTCTGCAAGTGAAACGGCAAGCAAAAATTGTATCTTGTTTAAATATGAGGTACTAAAGCATTTTACAACAGAAAATAAAAAAACAATATCGATTTGATTTTATTTCTCATTAGGTTTTTATCTTCCACACCTTAGTGGAAAAAAAAAGTTTACCAGAAACGGATTACATTTTCGAAACAACCGCACCTTGTTCTGTTATGACCTAGATTTTAAAAATATTCTGTCGATATCTAAAAAAATAAAAGGGGGTTAAACAAGCTGGTCCAGAATTTTTAGTGTTTAAGATAGATAACTTCCAGAAATGGTGCTTTCATAAAATTTTGTAATAATCATACTAATGCAAAATAAGAATGTTTTAAAAAGAATTGCGACGATCGGAGACTGGAAACAATATTAAACCTAAAATTTGGGTCCTTGTGTCCGATGTATGGTTTCATTAGAAAAAAAATTTTTTTTTTATAATATCTTAAACTAAATTAAAATTAATCGACAGATTTAAATTTTCATACAAAAACCTCTTCTATAAAAAAAGTTATTATTGTTTTTAGTTTTTTATTCCCCAATTAACTCCAAAAAATAACTTTAAAAGATCTCAACTTTTTAACGGCATGTTATTTTGGAATGATATTTAAAATTTGTCGATAAATTTTGATTCTAATAAATATGAAAAGAAAAAAAAACTCATAAACATTTTAAGGGCGTTACGTTAGGGTCGTGTTCTTAGAGATTGGGCCCGATCACTGGACACTGGATAGTTTTTTGTTGTGGTTTTTAGTGATATTTAAAATAACAACTTAAAAATAACTGTTTCATATTTTACAAACTAACTTTTCACAATAAATTATATATATAGTTAATCATAAGACTTTCAGAAAAGAAAGTATGACGAGAGTTATATGTACAATAGCTTTATACAATCTTTTCGAATAACTTTTGTGACATTTGAATACCTTGTAACCGTTTTCCCAGGACTGACTAAAATTTTGATGAACAGATTCAGAGGCTTGTTTGCTCCAATAGCCTAGACCTTTGTTTGGATAATCACTTGACATTATTTTTAATAATTCTACTGTATGTTTTACTAAAGCGTGTACTTTAGGTGTTACTCTCAATCCAAGTTTATAGTAAGCTTCTTGATAATCTTTTACTTTTATTTTGTAGTCGGGTTCTAAAGTCATCGCTAAACAACTAACTTTAACTTCTCTTAAGCATTTAAATGCCTGTAGTATGAAAGAAAGTTGTTCATCATTGTCTAGTGAAAAAGAATTGATCAAATCGTTCAAAATATCTATATTATCAAGAAGTTTTGAACACTATCCTTCCTTAAATTGCCCACCATGAAGCCTTGGTCTTTTAAACCCCAGTTTTTCATTCCACTCCTCTGCTTTAAAACAAAATTCTTTAGAGTTTGTATATGAATCAAGATAATTCAAAAGTTTGTTGGTGTTTCCACTGAGAAGGTGTAGCTCCATCGGAGCAAGAAGTTTTATAACCTTTGCTTCATCTGGTAAATCAATAAGCGGTTGGTCTACACAGTTATGATAGGGTACTACAGATAACTTTGATTTTTTAATTTTATTTCTGCAAGCATTTTTGTAATTATTAGCTGATGATTTAATTGTCCCAAGCGTTCTATGTTCACCTTGAAATTCAAAATTTTGAAAATCATTTTTGCTAGCTATACACAAAGAGCAAAGATGAGTTGAGGCTGCACTTTCTATTCCAAAAAAATATTGGCCAACTTTATATCGAAAGCACAAAAGTATTTCATACTGTTTAAATTAATAAAATCGATTATTATTTTTATATTTGCGTAAGATTCTTGCAAAGTTTCTACAAGTGCAATAATAATGAGTTTGTTAACCCCACCATCTTTGTATTTTTCTTTAAATATGCCTTCGTCATAACTAATTTTTTTTACCTTTTCTTTAGATTCCTCGCAACGATCTAAGATATTTGAACAAATTTTCAAAAATCCAGCTCCTCCGTCAATGCCGACTTTTAAAATGTATTCACTTGAAATATTTCTTTTTTTGACAACATTTTCCACCAGTCCTAGAATATCTTTGCAATAAGCCATCACCTTTTCACCCTCATTAAATTTAACAGATCTTACGTCAAAGTATTCCTTTCAAATGGCGTCTTCTTCAATCAGTTTATTTCTTGTATTTTTTTCAAATGATTTGCGACCTTTCCAACTTCTAAAAATACTTAAAACTTTAGCACCTTGTGTGTTACTAAGACCACATGCATTTTTTAATTTGTTCACTTCACTTGTATGTATCGGTGAATCAATAAACAAAGCTTTAGAAGAGGTTTTTGGTCTTTGTATACTAATTGAAGTTCTGCATGTTGCAACCTTAATTAAATTGCCTTGTTTTTCAAACATTTGTTTAAGTGTTTTTGAACATTGCAATTCGGCACCTTTATCGTCTAAATAAAAATCTACAATATAAAATTTGTAATTACTTTGGAATTATTATTATAATTTAGTTTTTATAGAAACTTAATAATGAAATTAATATTTTTTTACCTTTATCTTGTTGCTTCATTAGGTTTTCCCTTCGCTTTGTAATACAACAGGTGTGGGCTAATCCTGCTCCAATAACATTTAGACATCTTTTACAAACTTTAACTGGTCCAGGAGAGGGTAAAACTTTCGTGTTGAGTTTTGGTCTTCCTCTTTTTTCTATAATTGATCCACGTGTTAAATTACACCAGGCAGTAAGGCAAGTATCACATTGGCAAAACTGTTGGTTTCTAGTTAGAATCGTTACTTTGGTCTTAGAGAAATCAAATGGTTTACATAAAACTATATTTGTGTTACCTTTTTCCATTTCTACTAAATTAGTTCGACATCTTCCACAAATTCCATTTGGAAAACGATTATCATTTAAATTAATATTGTCAATGAAATATTTTTTAATTCTCAATAAAACTACACTTCTTTCTTGTATTTTACTTAAATTTTTTTCATTTTTCAAAGCAAATTTAACAAACTTTACTCTTACTTTTACTGTAACTTACCCTTGAATATGGCATTTCAAAGGTGAAGTAATTAATTAATATTTAAATTTTCAAAGCACAACTAACGATATTACAAACGCAACGTGTAACAAAACACAAATAACAATAATGTATAAAAATCAAAACTAAAAGTGGTTTTTAATTAAACAATTTCAAATAATTTAGCAATAAAGAATGATTTTGAGGGTTATTTAAATTGACGTAATACAAATTAAAACAGCAGTTTGTAAAAGTAATGTAACATTTTATAAACTCGCTTTGGTAAAACATACAGAAGAATATTTAAAAAATTCTATATATAATTTATTGTGAAAAGTTAGTTTGTAAAATATGAAACAGTTATTATTAACTTGTAATGTTAAATATCACTAAAAACTACAACAAAAAACTAAAATCTTCTTTTTATTTGTGTCCCAGTGATCGTGCCCAATCATATTTAAATTCTAGGAACACGCCCCTAAGGTAACGTCCTCAAAACGTTTATGAGTTTTTTTTTCTTTTCATATTTATTAGAATCAAAATTTATCGACAAATTTTTAAATATCATTCCAAAAAAATATGTCGTTTAAAAGTTGTGATCTTTTAAGGTTATTTTTTGGAGTTAATTGGGAAATAAAAACCTAAAAACAATAATAACTTTTTAAAAAGAAAAGGTTTTTGTATGAAATTTTAAATCTGTCGATTAATTTTAATTTAGTTAAAGATATTATGAAAAAAATTTTTTTTTTAATTGAAAACATGGTCAATATTTTTTCAAATCACAAAAAGTTATCAATCATTCTTAAACTCACATGATACTAGACATGTGTTCTGACTTGATTTAGCTTAAAGTCGTTATAGTAAATTGGTGATGAAATGCTGTAAAAAAAATAATGTAAAAGTTGTTCTTAAAACAGTAAGTCCTCCAAACTGCATAAAAAAAAAGTCATTGAAAAGTCCTGCGCAATTATTGAAAAAAAAAAAAAAAAAAAAAAAAAACTATTTACAAACGCTTAAGATTTAAAAAATTTCATATAAAATTCCTTAAAGTTATAGTTAGGGGGATTGGTGCGGTGCGGGCCCCCCTGCGATAGCCACAGCAGGGGATGCACCTGCGCTGCGCCTAAGACTAGGGGGGGTCGGGTGATCCTTTTTTAGGAGAGAAGAAAACCGTATAGCATCAAATAGTTTTAATTGTTATTCTGTGCGCAAGCTTATGGGTACCACTAAAGAAAAAGTTGGAAATTTTATGAGATGTCTACAGAAATAAATAATTTTTTTTGAAATATTTTACCTTCTTTTATTAATGTTTTAAAATAGTTACTTAGTTCTAAATAAAAATACCTTTTTTAAGAAGTTTTTCTACTTTCACAATGATTTCGTATACATGCTTTACATTTAACCTTCTTGAGAATATCTTAATCAAGTTAACACAAATAAAAGCTTGTTTAAAATGAAAATAACTTAAAAAGATTGTTAGGGGTTTTTATAAAATACATTATTTATTTTTCATTTGTTCTAAGCAAACTTTATAACCTTAAACTGGTCTTAAATAGCACTAATTAAACTCTCTTTTTTTCTACTTACTATTCTTTCTCAGAATACTACCCTGGTAGAGCTACCACTCATATATTCTAGTAAGAGGTTCAATAAAAGATTCAACTAACTTCTCTTTTTCTTTCTTTGTTAAATTGCAGGGCCTGTAAGAATCACCAGAGCCTACAATGCAACATCCAAATACTACTCCAATGCAACATAAATGATCGATATCTGGAGAATACAATTAAAGTTTTTTAAAGAATTATAGTTCTTATAGTTTGTAAAGATTTTAATATATATTTTATTTATATTTTTCCTATATATTGATTTTATTCGCAACACATCAGGGTGTTATATATATAACTATATAAATATAAATATTTATATCTCCACGGAATTTCGGCTAAATAAATATTTATATCTACACGGAAATTCATATAAATGATTAAGTGTAGTGAACTTTCTTGCAATCAAACCACATTGGTTGCTTTTTATTGATCGAACAATATTCTCCAACACAAAAACCTTACTTTTGCTTGTCATGAATCAGTTGTGGGACTACTAAATTTTAAGTTAAAAGTTTCAAATTTCATTGTGATGTATTGTGGTCCATTGGTCGCATCTATGAGCGAGCCTTTTACGTGTTGTTTCAAAAATTCAACAATTTCAAATTTACTAGACCTATTTACAAGTACATTTATCTTTCTTTCATGCCAACGTTTTTTTATTTGTTGTAATGGTTTTGGTGATGTCTTAAGCATATTTTGCATACTTGCATTCTCAAACGCAAATATAGAGTGTTTTTCAAGCGGTCAACGTTTTCTTAATTCATTAGCTGTATGGATTAGAGAGTGGATATTAGCACTCACAAGATAGTTTTCATATAGCATAGCAAAATCAGACACAAAGTTTTCAAGTAATTTTTCACAATAATCAATTTCAGAAGGAGTTACTTGTCTAGCAAGAATACTTGTAGCAACAGGTAAAGTTAAAAAAAATGATAATACAGAGCTTTAGTTTTTTGTGAACTATCAAGTATTTTTTTCATAACATAAGGACCAACATAAAAAAAAAGACGAAGTTCTGTGGTTTTGTATAATGCTAAGTATGTTACTTCTCGAAGGTGATGTTGAAACTCAAATGGGATTTCATTATTAGTGGTCATAGTTTTCTCGGAGACTCTGGCTCTTATTATGCTTATTTACAGATAGTGTCTTTCCAAATAACTGTTTTTGTATTTTTTTTTACCATATCAATGTAAATTTGGTGCATAGGGTTAATAACTACCATAATTATCATATCTAAGAACGGTATTTGCTCAAAGTTTTTATCGCCACGTTGATGTTCTAAGTGCTGCGTCAATATTTAAAAATCCCTTTCTGTTGCTTATTCTCTCTCTGTTCACTAAACCTTTATTTACAGGAACACTCTCCTGCATGCCCGATTGTATTAAAGATAACTTTTAGCCACTTATACAAATATTGAGTTGTTTATTTTCAAAATCAATCCCCAGGAGGAATATTTTGTACCATTACTCTATTTGTAAGAGTTTTTAGTAAAGCTTTACGTGTTTTTGGCATTTCATCAGTGAAACACGAATGCCTTTTTAACAACTTTTATAGTTTATTAGTTGCTCTTTCAGGTAGAGCAGACTCCATCACAAAGGTTGCTTTTGTTTAATATTCTGTCGCTTGATAAAGAAGAAGCTTTATCTGATGAATCCCCTGGTACAGGAGGCGATGGAGTATGAGAAAATTGTGTTTGGAAAGAGAGTGGTTGACGTAGTGGTATTTGCATACTAGCACACTAGGTTGAAATACTTGTGAAGGTGAACTTACGAGTTGATGGAGAGGTACTTTAGTAATCAAACAAGACCCGTAGTAAATTTGATACACCGCAAGAGTAGGTATTGCGCTTTTAATCCAAAACTTCCCACTTACAAGCAATAAACAACAGAACTTTTTAATGTGTTCACGTAAAAACTTCCATTAATAAATGGATAAATTAGATAAAAAAGTTAAAAATCTGTTGATGACTTTAAAAACTACACGTAGTTTAAATGTTAAAATCAAAGCAATTATAATTGCCATAGTTGTGGTAAGGATAATGTGATAAACCAATTAACATAATATTACAAAATTACTTAATTTATTATAGACAAAGCACAACAACAGTAGTGTTATAACAAACAACGATAATAAACAAATATTGTAATAAGGAATTCGTGCATAATTACTAACAGATAAAGTATAAAAGTATATGAGTGTTGTAAATAATGCGTATATTATGTAGTAAAATGCCAGATTCACGTCAGGAAATGAATATAGAATTGATCCTTACAAGTAATAAATACTCTGGTATTTGACGTTTTGATTATTTTAATGCATATTCCTAGAACCCTTGTCGAAGTACCATCCTAAAAGCAAGCAAATAGAATTCACCACTACGTCCAAGTCAAGCCTTCTTATGTTGCAACATTTGAGAGGACATATTAAAACCATACATTAAAACCCAAAAAAAAATGCGTTTTGCGTTTGCGTGACAAAATAAAAATTCACAACTTACGCATATAAATTACGTTTAAAAAAGTAACTTGAACGCAACTTACATAAAAAAATACTTTTATAAACGTAATTCAAACACATTTTACACGTATAAATGCGTTTGCAAACATAACTGAAACAGAACAAACGCAATTATATATATATATATATATATATATATATATATATATATATATATATATATATATATATATATATATATATATATATATATATATATGTATATATATATATATATGTATATATATATATATATATATATATATATATATATATTCGTATATATATATATATGCGTTTATATATATATATGCGTTTATATATATATCGTATATATATATATATTCGTATATATATATATAAATGCGTTTGCAAACATAACTGAAACAGAACAAACGCAATTATATATATATATATATATATATATATATATATATATATATATATATATATATATATATATATATATATATATATATATATATATATATATATATATATATATATATATATATATATATATATATATATATATATATATATATATATATATATATATATATATATATATATATATATATATATATATATATATATATATATATATATATATAATATATATATATATATATATATATATATATATATATATATATATATATATATATATATATATATATATATATATATATATATATATATATATATTATATATATATATATATATATATATATATATATATATATATATATATATATATATATATATATATATATATATATATATATATATATATATATAATATATATATATATATATATATATATATATTATATATATATATATATATATATATATATATATATATATATATATAATATATATATATAATATATATATCTATATATATATATATATATATAATATATATATATATATATATATATATATATATATATATATCTATATATATATATATATATATCTATATA